GTACTTACAGAGACTGCTACTATCACTTCTTCTGCGCTCGAGTATGACTATTATTTCTTCGTGTATACTTCTAGTTTTTTTTTTTTTTTTTTTTTTTTTCATATTGGATTCGAAATAGGGAACCTTAATGTGTATGCTAATCGCAAATCACTCCCAACAAGAAAGCCTGGGTAAAATTGATCACGCTTTATTTTATATCTGCAACAAAGCACCCAGCTAAGCGCTAACCTCGACCTCCTCAGAAGTAGCTTGTCATAAAACGCCGTTACAGAGTGAATACTGCCCCCAGTGGTGGTTTCTTGGTCTTCCGAGGCGTCACTCAATATAGCTTCTTCAGGACATCCCAAGGGTCCTCTTGCATCCCTTGTGTGTTCTTTGCGCGACTCATAGGTGTCTCATGATATTAAGTCCCTCTTCTTGCTGGTCGGGGCTCTGGTGTGGTGCAGGCGCATTATCAACTGGGTGGGCATCTCCTTCAGGCGGATCTAATTCAGATGCTTCTCCTTCAGACCATTCGTATCCATGCGCAAGACCATACACTTCTAATTCATAAGCACCTAATTGAGACAGTTCTAAGTCAATATCATCTGATTTAGGATGATCTGGTTCAGGCGAATAGAAGAGAGCAGCCGCAAAGTAGTCAAGGTCATGTGTCTGGGGGTACCGAACTGCCCCAGGGTTCCGGAATCTTTCAGCACGCTCCTCAGGCGTTTCATCATACAACGAGGGCTCCGTAGTCGTTTCATCATCTGGTTCCAGGACTACATCGATCTTAGTGGGCGTCCATGGTCTACGGTACCCCCTATCACGACAAGTAAGCCTTGAGCCTGGTTTGACGCTGTTGAAGTTCCCAACGGCGTCTCTTTCCACCAATATACGGTAGTCGTGGCCGGGGTAGTTAACTCACAGTTGATCCGAGTCCTCAGCTATTTCGTTTGCTATCTGCTCTGCCGCTTGCACCAGTGGGAGCCTTGTTTGGAGAAACTCTTGCGAAGATATCTCATCAGTTGTTGCGAGGCTGTATGATATTTCGTAACTACAGTTGTAGCACCTATCAGTTAGGACATGTTCAATTCTTGGGCTCATGGAACGGCGAGTTTCGAGCACGCTATTGCAGACGATGCATCGATACTCGTGGAAGTGCTTTCGGTTCCGCAGCGGCAGATGGCGCCGATTCATGATGAAATGACAGATAAGAGTTTGATACTAAATAGTATTATCAATGAAGCGAGTGTCTTTGTTGCTGAGATGAGTCTTGTAAGTGGAAGCAAAGTAAAAGGACCTTGCCCTCCGTGCTTGGGGACGATCCATGATACCCAAGGTATTCGACGAATCCATCTGTCGCTCTTTCCACTTAACTTTTGATTCCATGATGCACTTGCCTAGGTGCCTACTACCTACTTAAGGTTCCTCTATCGATAGAGACAACGATTCCACAGAAACTCCAGCATCCATCTCTAAAATACTGCGTAGAGGTAGGTACTAACGTTCCCTTATGAGTTACATATGTAAGTAAGTACCTACTAAGGTAGTAAAGTTTCTGACATCAAGATACCTTAGGTGACAGAATTAAGGGATCTAAATATCTACTAAAGTATATCAGGGCAACCTCTCTTCATCACTTAGGATAAAGGTCGTCGGTTTTCTTGCCTCCCCTTGATAAGTTACCTACCGGCACCTTGTTAAAAGTGTAGGGTTTGCTCACTGTATCCGTCAAAAACTTAGTAGTCTCAATATCTTGATACAAAGAATCAAAAACCCATTAGGGCTTTATCTCTTAAGCAGCTCGGTGTGATTTATTAATAGGGACTCCAAATATGGTCGAACACATTCACTTCGGTTCCCTGAGTTCGTTCTGTCAAAGCTTCTGTTGACCTCGTCAGACCGCATATATCCGCTTCACATCCGTCAACCCAAAGAAACATACTAAGAATCTGTCGAGATCATAAAATATTGATAGTTCATCCATCGACCGAAGTACCTCGGTAATGTGCTCAAGTTTAGCATACTCAAAGCCTTGATACAAAGAATACGGGTCTGGAGGAACTACCAGGCTCTGCCTTAGTAGTAATGACACTTCTAGGAGACTTGAGTGATCTTCACAACTCACTACGGGAAAAGACATAAATTGGTGAACGGGAAAGTCCACGTTGTGTAAGACTAAGTAAAGGTTACGATGGTAATACAAGGCAATGCAATCCGAAACTCCATTTCTCCAATCCAACCCACCGTCACCAAAGTATACATTCCCTTTCCTCATGACATGCAGACGATGAGACTATCCGGTGTTGAAACCAGACTCAAATGAAAACGTGGATGAAAGCGCAGCGAGCTAATGCACATGGCGAATTGCTAGGCAACTCAACGCGCAGCATACATGCAGAAACAAGGAGACCACTTGCACGAGACAGTCGATTCATCCAATACCGTACGAGCCTGATTGGAAAAGGGGCAAGAGACAAGCGAACACCACGTGCACCAAGACACTACTGGCCCAGTTCAGGTTGTGATCAGGTTCGTGCAGTTGAGTTGGCCGGTTCACATCTCATCTCAACGCAACTCAGCTCAACCACGCCACGATAAATCGCAAGTTTCAGGATGTACGTCATACCAAGAGATGAGCTGGCACCGGAAATCGCACATGTCATCAACGAATTAGTCGTGAGTTGTCAGTCCGCAAGCCAGTAGCAACATGGTCGTGAAAGAGCCAGTAGAGGCGGCGGCAACTTTAAATGTTCGTGGAAGCATTCAGCATCGAGTCCAGGATCGCCTAAATGAATTCGAATGAGGTCATGGCAAGACAACCATGCACGTCGCACCCGAGATTGCACCTCAATATTAATGTTGTAAAGACAGCCCAGTCAAGAGATATATCATCAGAAAGGTTGAGTCCAAGGAGTCCTCAAAAGACGGGAAAAGAAAACGGGTGATGTACAGTCGTAGGTCGTGGCAACGGGCTATGAGTGCAGAGAGGTGTCAAGAGCGTCAAAACATTGGCATGATGTCAATCAAACCACCAGATGGCACCCTCGATCCGCGGCATTTGCGGATGAGAGCTCAATCAAGATCACCCAAGCACGAGCAAGCAGGCAGGACATCACTTATGCTCCGGGTGCAGGAGCACCAGAAGGGGGGGCACCTTGTCCGCCTTGCTGTTGTTGGTACATCAAGGATTGATACCACAGCGCCAGGTAATTTTGGTAACCACCATCTATGTTGATTAGCATTCAGCAAGGCACAAGGGCACAGCATATCAAGACTTACATTGTGCGTAGGGATCGGATCCATCAGCTGGAGCTGGTTGGGGGGGCTGGTTAGTAGGGGCACTGGAGCCTTGCGCTTGAGGGTAGCTGGGCCTGTCATGATCTTGATGACCACGGCCACCACCACTACCACCACGGGGGCCACTACCTTTCTGGCGCTGTTCTCACATTAGCTGCGTAAAATAGGGTCTTGGTGTTAGGATGAGACTCACCACTGCATCCACCTTCTCGTCAATGGCAAGCTTAGCTCGCGCAATACTATCTCGCGAACCGATCAGGGCAATCTCCCTCTGAGTCTCACCAGGACCAGAAGATTGAGCAACGTTGATCTTGCATCCGGTGGTGTTCTGCATCTCCCGGATCGTCTCGCCGCCTTTTCCTATGATCATACCTACCGCATCTGAAGGCACATATACAGCATCATTGATCTTGTCGGGGCCACCAGAACCTCCCGCATCCCTCTGAGAACCATCATGGCGGCTTCCAGGAGCTGCTCCTCCACCTCCCAACCTTTTAACAGGCGGCGGCGCGTCGCCTCGACTGTCACTGTCGACAATCTCCATGATGAAATCCTTGGCGCGGGCGGCAGCTTCGCGCGTGCCGATGAGGTTGACAGGCCGTAATCCGTTCACACTCTTAGATTCGCCAACGATATTGATATGGCAGCCAGACCGCTCTTGAAGGTCGCGGATAGTCTCACCGCCACGTC